ATCCAATCTAAACCTCCCCTGGCGCAACTTGAGGCCATTTCCTCTCGTCCTATCGCTTGTTACTTGGGAGAAGAGACCAACACCCACCTCACTACAACCTCCTTTCAGGTAGTTGTAGAGAGTGATAAGGTCTCCCCTGAGCTTCCTTTTCTCCAGGCTAAACAAGCCCAGTTCCCTCAGCCGCTCCTCATAAGACTTGTGCTCTAGACCCTTCACCAGCTTCGTTGCTCTTCTTTGGACACACTATTGGAGCAGGCAGGGAGAGAAAGAGTCCTTCTAGAAGGCAGGGACAGCAAGAGGCATGCTTGTAGCTGTGGCAGTCCCACAGTGGTCCTGCAGTGATTATTGTACCACCTCCATTCAAAATGTTGCTTTTTCATAAGAAGTTTTGTATTTCCAGACTGTTCTTAGCCTTTGTCATCTGCCCCTTGGACTACTACACAATGCCTGAGAATGATATCTTCCAAGCCACACCAGGTGCCTTACTCCATTGTTCATCTGGATTTTTCATGCTTAGCTCCTTCTTTTCTTGTTATGCATAAAGCAGTCCTTTCCCAGCTCTCAAATTTTAAACTTTTTCAGTGACTAGTAATGGACCATCAGCAAGTTGTTTATAGCCCTGTGTCCATATTTTCAGGACCTTCGCTATTATCCCAGACTTAAACTCCACATTGTAAGAAGAGAAACCTCATACCAAGTTCTATTTTGGAGCTGACAACAAGCCTAATAGGCCAAGGCTAGAGTCTTGCAACACTAGCAAGTTAAAGTTAGCCTAAGGCCCATGGCCTGTTACTCGTGATAGCCATACTGCTTTTGCAGTGCCAGTGGGTGACAACAGAAGCACTAAGGAATTCTGGTTTTCCCTCATCCACAAAAGAGCAGAGGGGAGTAATGTGTAAGTGTTGTATGTATGTGTGCTAACCCCCTCAACCCTCAAAAGATAGAGGCATTTCTCTTGGAAAATGTAGAGAAAATATTTTCTGTGTAGAGGATGCAGAGTGGGCCTGTTTTATGGTACACCTCGTGGAAAGGAAATTGTAGGTAAGTGATTTTTTTTGTTGCTGTTAGATTAGCCTCTCCTGGGTTTCATAATTCTACTGGCACCTTTGGATATTGCTGGTCAGTATAGTGTAGTAAACTGGAGTTTAGGAAATCTTTCAGTTAAAAAAGCACATCTATGGACACTCATTTACTAACATAAAAGGTGTGCTAGAGCACTTAACAGATGGCTTTTTAGATATTACTGTTGCAGAAAGCTTTCTCTATGAGTGCTTTCCTGGCCTTGGAATTCTCATTGTAAGCCTAAGTAGCGAAAGGAGCTGAGGGTTTTCCCCTCAAAATGCTTTTCAGATGTCTTTTCCTTTCTCTTACTTTAAAGTTTGTTGCTCCTATGACACAGGAAACCTGAAAGAAACCAGGGAAACCTGAAAGAAATATTGTAACCTATTGGGATTGTGTCCAGCCAAAATTTGAGGAGTGTAAATTTGTCCAGGATCTCAAGCTGTCACTGTTTTTTTCAGTGCCAGTTGCCATATCTCGAAATCCTGAACAGTATGCACTGCAAAATTGTCAGGTGTTAGGCTTCCTGTGTGCACCATTAAGTAGCTTTCAACTTGGTCCTGTCTAGATGGTTTGCATCTTCTTAGATGTGAGTTACTTTCATCACATATGTTATAGTGTGGAGCCATAAATCTTTTGGGTTAAGAAATACTGGTCTGGAACTTGAGCAAACTCAA